TCACCCTGGGTATAGTGCCATGGCATCACCATAGCTCACAGCAACCTCAAACTGTTGTACTCAAGCGATCCACCTGTTTCAGCCTCCTAAGTAGCTGGAACCAGAGGCGCCCATCACAGTCCCCAGTGAATTTTTCTTATTTTTAGTGGAGACAGGGTCTTGCTCTTGCTCAGACTGTTCTTAAACTCCTGAGCTCAAGCAATCCATCTATCTTGGCCTCCCAGAGTGGTAGGATGATAGGCATGAGTCACTGTGCCTGGTCATATTAGATGCTTTTCTTGAGTCAGTGCTCAAACTATGTCCACTCTTTCTTGCATCATAGGTGAAGTCAATCTGTTCCACAGTTTGCACTATAGTGGAAACATTATAGGAACTAAGGGGATCTATGTTTTCTGCTCATTAGTCTGTGACACCAGGTACCTAAATGGAAACCCTGACACATTTTTCTCCCACCTGCTTACTGGGGAGCTGGGTTGGGCCTTCCTGGAGGTTAGGGGATGGGAGTTTTGGTGGTCTCATTCTTCCATGGAAACTAAATAAGAACAAAAATTCAGAATCACAAATCAGGACAACTTAATAAGTTGTGATGATTTTCTATTTTTGTCTTGTGAAAAAATAAATATGGTGTTAAGAAAAGTTTATATTCTTCAAGCTTTGGTTAAAAGATAGCAATTAGCTTTATTAAAGTGCTAAAAAGTAATTAGGCTTAAAATATTGACTATCAAGTTGCAATTGTATTAAATTGATGTATTTAAGTCTCATACTAATGGCTTAAGGGGATGGATGCTTTCAGGAACTTAAAAAAAAGATAAATCAGGAGGACAGAGAACAGATAGGTAATCTGTAGATAAGAGATGTTTTTGAAAGCAAGCCCAGAACAAAGGGATCTGTAAGATTTAATGGGGCTGACTAAAGAGGCAGTGATATGGATTTTCAGGTTCTTGGTCTGAGAGATTCAAAGAATGAATCTCTGGACCACAGATCAGCAGTAAGTCAGGATTTATTCAAAGAAACAAAAATTACAACAACTACAAAAATACCAAACCTCCTTGCAGAGAGAACCCAGGAGGGGAACAAGTTCTCCCACTCCCTCTTTGAGGTCTGTCCTCCTGGCTCTGCTCAGGAGTTTATATAGTGGCAGGGGGGTTGTTTTGCCAGAACTGATAGGGCGTGGGTCTTGTCAGATACAGTCAGCTATCCAATGAGCTCTCAGGCCTTGGAAACTGACATGAAATCCACCAGTCAGGAGTGCAAACAGAGGAGACAGCAAAGCACCATCCATGAAATGGACCAGCCAGAAGTGCACCTGGAAGAGACAGCAAGGTGCCAGTGTCTCCCCAGCAGGTGTCAGGCTGGATATCAAGCTGATTCCTCCATCGCCACAACAGGAACACTTCCAGGGCTAAGGTGGCAGGTTGTGGTGCCACCTTGTCCTGCAACAGTAGGTACATAATAAAAGGGCTCAGTGTGCCAGGTGAGAGGAATGAAAAGAATACTATATTGAAACCTACCCTGGTAAAAATAACTAAGTAACTATAGGGATAATGAGGGAAATAGTGTCCATACACTAGCAAAGATGAAGAATTCTGGCTGGACTTGGACTTCAAAGTTGTAGAGCAAGATGTCCAAAGACATTAGAAAAAAGTCTAAATTAATTTACCTTTTAGGTGAGAAGTTATGATGAAATATATGTTATAGCAACATATGGAGTCAATTTATGGCAATAATAGAAGACATTCTGAGATCTATGAAGACTCAGAAAACAAACCACCCATACCACCTAAGTACTCTTCTTAGTAAATTACTTAAAGACATATTTCAGTTGAATAAAAGATGGAGTAAAAATGAGGTGTGGAGAAATCATGCCAAGAAAAGACCCGCAAAGAAATGTAAACAGT